GAGAAAGAGAGATAAGAAAACGGAGATTACATAAGAAGATATAAATGTGCTATTCTATATCGCTCAGCTAAGAAAATCTGACCCTAGAGGGAGGAGAGGCATAAAACCAGGAGGGTTCTCTCATAGTAGAATCAGGCTCAAAGCTGATTGGAAGCAAGGGTGGTTTTTTTTTTAAATCATATAAAAAACGGGGCCCACCCCAACCCGCAACCCCTCCCCTCCCCTTTTAAAAATAATAAAAAAAAAAAAAAAAAAATCATCCCGTCATGTCACGTGTAATGGAAAGAACGGCTATATGTGTCCCACTTCCAGCACTTAAAACTATAGACTTACGGCTCATTAAAAATCTCTTAAAAAGGAGATGAAAAACTGCGACCAACCTTGAAGTGGTCGGTCCAGCTACTTGTAAGTGGTTCCGAAATACCCACCACACGGTGGGTTCTCCAGGAGAAAGTGGCGTCGCCATGAGGCTAGGAACAGATCGGGTCAAGCCAGCATGATAAAAAGGCAGTGGTGTAGTGCGGCCGAGCACTAGTAAATGGTGGTACCAAAGATCCAAAAAGAAAACCAGTTTGGCTGACGGACCAGAATAAACTGGCTGGTGCTAGGGCGTGAGTGAAAGTGGGTATCCAAGGGGAAGAACTGCCCTCACTGCTTGTACCAACTCAAACCTTCGCAACACAAGGAAAACAAAGGTTTTGTACAAAAAAAAAAACCAAAAGGGAATGCTACTAAATCGAATAAATTCGAGTAGTAAGACGCGCGACAGCGGAATGCCTCGAAAACTAGTCTAGAACTACAGGCTCAAAAGTGGTTACACCAGAAAAGTGGTCTCCGAACCACAAAGTGTCTCTTGGCTGAGGCAACAAAGTGTGGTTCAAAAACACAGCAAACGAAGAGAGATCATGTGTGCGGCGAAGCTCCGAAAAACCGAAAAACTAGTCTCCAAGCGAGAAAAGTGGTCTACGACCACAAAGAAGGGTGTCCTACACAAGACATTCTCCACTCCCTCCAGGGCAAGAGAAACACAGGCTGGTCACAAACCGAGTCTAAGCACAAAAGAGTTTAGAGCCTGGAGCAAGCATTTAGCTGAGAAAACTATCAAAGACTCGAAACGAGCACAAACAATTGCAATTAATAACACCCGAGAGATGCTCAATGAATGACGGTCGTGAGTCTTATAAGGTCGTTGTACACAAAAAATGGAGCTGTCATACAGGGACTCTAGGTGACTAAGCGAACAATAATGAGATAAGCATTACTCAGTGAAACAACAAACTAAGCAACAATGATAATCACCGCATTAAAGGTCACAAAAGCATGAAATTATAAGTTTGAAACATAGCAGATCTGCTAGTAGCTTACAGATCTGAAATATCATGTGAGTGATGCAATCATGTACATGATGCAAATGAAGTCATGTATGCGTACCCAAACTTTGAACTAGCATAGCATTTGTACTACAAACTATGCAACACATACATATTGGTCAGAGGCTAACCCAAAAAAAACAAGTTCCTAGAACTGTCAAAATGAGTCTAAACACATGCATGTAAGTAAGCCAAACAAGCTAGCAATGAAGGGCATGAAAAGGCATCGGAATATGCAAGGCCAAAAGGAAGTTACACTAATACCGCTACTAAGTACCAAGCATGGGATTGTCTTTAACCAACAAAAATACAGAGTTATATTTTTCATGGCAAATATAACCCCAAAGAACAACACTGAATGATACTTGACAAGCTTAGGCATGTAAAGGCATATTATATGGCTTCATGTTTTAGAGGACTATATAAAGGACCAACCTTCAAAGCATGAAGCTATCTATTCTGCAATGAAAAGATGAGAGTGTTACGACATTTTATGAACACAGCATGAATCTTATAAAAAATAATGCCTAAATCATTCTAATATGCCAAGCATGCATCTAGTGACTGATACACACAATAGCTGAATATACAAGCTCTAGAAATGACTCATTATACTATACAAAGCAATGGCAAATCCATTAATAACCAAAACACTCACAATAATCAGTAGCTAATTAGAGGTCATGCTAAAACCATTGGTGAGACAAAAGACTTCTGAGTTAAGGCCAATTCATATATTAGATATAACTGTCTAAGCATTGAGATACTTACTATGTGAAAAGCACCCGAGAAAATGTATTGACAACTGTTAAAACCCTCCAATGTTGAAATTAATTATTCTTAAAAGCCCTCGTTACTGAATAAATTCAATCTGTCAGTTTAGCATTACTATTTTTTTTTTATATCAAACAGGAATTAAACTACTAAGGAAAGAATTAGGTTTCCCTAAACTAATTTAATTCTATCAATAAATTACATATGTATGTTAACACCAAGTCCCTTACTTCCTTATTAAATCAAAATAAACACCAAAAAACTAGCACATGTACCCTAATATTATTAGTACCATCAATCTTTGTAAGTATATACTATACACCTTGAAAGAGTGTGCTATTTAAGGACCAAACGAAATAACAAATAACCCATCACACTCCTAGTGAAAGAGAGAGGAGCCAATTTTCAAGACTTAATAATAAGATATTCTAGAAGCCAACCTAGTACCGCCTCTATAGACCTACTGGTGAATGGTTTTACAAAACTTCAGTTACATTTTGAACTAAAAATCACAACCTATATTGACTTCCTAATTACTTATGATTTGCACCTTAGTTTACCCTATCGCCATTTGAACCAAGAAGTAAAAATCCAACTTTTTCTCACATTTTCAAACTAATGGTCTTTTGCCATTTCACCAATATTTGCTGATATGAATACAGCATCCTTTGGTTGGCAAGCCAAACACCACAGGCGCATCACATACACTTTTGGCTAGATAAGTGTATGGAGTATGGACCACACAGAGAAGTTAGAGAGAAGAGGGAGTAAGAAGAGGAGGTGTGTCTATCTTGTCCAAAGCTTAGAAGTGTAATCCATCAAATCATAACCTTCTCTCCACTTATTTTCTTTTCTCACCATGCTATTGTGGTTACTAAAGATGCTTTACTTGA